CCCCGCCTTCAAGTACAATATATATAGATAGCACTTGTGTTCTTAACGGATTGTTTTGTTTGGTAGGAATTTAACGTCTTTGCAACATCCGGGTATTTTTTTAAGACGGATGCCTAGAGACACACCGGAAGAAAACATTAGGGAAGAGAAAGAGGAAAAGTAACAGATCCATAGTGTTGCAATGGGGACACCAGCAGCAGGCATAAGTCGTCTCTGCAGCAGCTGTTTTTCAATATACAATTGTAGTAAATGATGAAATGCTCCATTGTTAATAATTTAATCAGTATGAATTTTTATTTCAAATACTATATCCGTGTATTTGACTGAGACCTTCACATTTACAATTACTATGTTACGATTTTAAAAAGATGCTGTCTGTTTTTTTCATCTGTCAATGTCTTCTCTTTCAGAAAAAACACATTAAAGGTTTAGTGTTCACCTGTATTCCAACATGTATAGCAACCGTCTCGGCTCCCTCACAACCGCCCACCTACTAACAGTTTTCGACTCGATCAGACCGTAAATAATGTATCTCAGCAACTATCTTTCGCACACGCACGTAATGGTTAGGCGACATCAGTCTAGGAACGGCCACACACACAGCGTATCAAATGGTGTGTGTTTATATCGCTGTTCTATGATTTATACTAAAATGTTGTGATTTAGACACTACGCCTTCGTGTGGAATAGGTCTGCTCCTATATATAGCAGCATATAATCCTAGATGTTATGTGGTCTGTGATTTTTTTCTCATTTCCATTAATTTCCTTCCGTGGTATTGATTTTATTGTTTTAGAAAATAGGAACAAATTGTCCAGATCCACATACAAAGTAGAAACAAAAGGACGTAGAAGCAAGTTATAATATTTTTTATATAAATCTATATACATTTGTATTAGTAAAAGCTTGACATAGAATCAAGATATGTAAAACAATTACCAGAAAAACGAATTAAGGAAGAACCTGTTTACAAATGTAATTTGTGGTTACAGAAATCCAAACAAAGGTTACTGTATATCATTGATAAGTTGCGGATATGTCATTTTCGCTATATGTAAACGGACATGAGAAATACCAAAGTTTTGAGTATGATCCGCAATATGGTGTTGTTCC